CCTGGCAATTCATAAAAAGGCAACAGGGTGCTCTGATAAGGCCTCCAGTTAAAATCCAAATCAATGTAAACAAAATACAGAATGTTTCATGTTCATGATACTTCCCCATGCATATTTAAATCAGCTTTATCTTACTTTAACTCTCTTGGCTTTCCCCAAGGCTTGCTGGGAGCTGCATTTTTGTGAGGGTGGCAAGAGAGCTTTGGCAAATTCTGAACTACAGTTCACAGTATTCCAACAGTGGAATTTGGCTATATCAGTGGAAAGAAAAGTTACACTCTTCCCACCACTGCCATGATACAAAACATGTAGGGATGCACCAGTGTTGACTGGTTTTGTGCTCTTTTCAATTTTTCCCTCCAGTGGGTGATTTTAGTTTGAGTTTACATAAGAAATAAAGCTCTATTAGATGCAGTGAAGTTATCTCAAAAGTATGTTATGCAGAGTTCCACAAGTTCCTTCAAACTCCTGATTCAAAGGCTTTGATAAGTACGCGCTGAGCATCTTCTGCCACCTCATTGAGGAAGCTCCAGAGCATGTAGTAGGTGGTTCCAAAGGAGATCCCTCCAGCTGCCACAGAGCCCAGTACAGGCACTGTACTGGCTATGTACTCCATAAACATCAATGCCCCCCCACCAGCCTTGGTTAGCATCTTTACCACTAGATCCTTAGAGATCTCTTTAGCCAGTGGTGATTTAATTGCATCTTTGATCTCCTCCACAGGCTTGTCAACTTTCTCAGCTAATTTAATGAGAGACTCCTCATCCAGGCCAAAGTTCTTACGGTACTCTGAGAGAGATTTAACTAGGATAGCAACATCGCAAGCTACAGAAAGGCCTGGGATGGGCACAGCAGCCACTCCACAGGAGACAGTGGCTAGCTTCCAGATCTGTTTCTGAAGGGCCTCTTTCTTCTTCTTTAAGATTTCTAAAGAGATATTGGGCAGGGCAAGGAGAAAGGCATGTCTCTTGTGGCTTGGCAGCTCTTTTTCTAAGGTTTTCTCTAACAGCATAAAGTCATACTTGCTTAATTCCCAACTGGACAGAAGAAAAACTTGGGGAGTGTCAAACCCTTCTTTCACTAGACACTCTTGGCAATTCTCTCGGATCTGCCTCAGTACCAGTTCTTCATTGTAGACCTTAGGCCGACGTCTTTTGGAGGCTTCCAGGTCCGCATCGACTTTCGAGCGGACAAAATAGAAGCGCTTGCCCTGTCGCTGAATTTCACAGGCCAGCTGGGCATGGGTGGCCTTGAAACGCTCTGAAGCAATAAGAATAAAAAAGTCATAGCGGGAGAAGATGACCTGCTCCAGGTAAGTGTCGGACTGGAAATCTGGCGTACCAATTCCTGGTAGATCCCACACAATCACATTTGGGTGCTTCGGATGTGGGTATGGAGTAGGCTTCTTGGTGGTCTCAACCACTCCAGTGGGTGCTGATCCCTCATCTTCATCCCCCAGACCTCGAATGGCATTGACAAATGAGGACTTGCCCGAGCCACTCTCTCCTGTTACTGCAATATCTAGACGGGCGTTCTCTAAAGCCTGTAGGTTTTCCATGATCTTGGAGGCTGCCTCTGCCATTCTCCCTCCTTCAAGAGCATCCCTAATCTCTCCAATGTCATCTTCAGTAATGATGTCATATTCGTCAAAATTCACCATGTGATTTTGGGGAGCCTCCAGTGGTTCACCTGCCATAGGATCAAGACGAGGCCTGTGATAAAGAAAGCATGCAAAAAGACCATGGAACTTTTTACTTTGCTATTTGGTGACATGTCTGCAGCCAATTAGCTTGCCTTGTAATAGGACACTTTATGATATATTTTAAAAATCAGGTTGGAGAGTGGTTGGGTCAAGATCAACCGCTAGATTTCATGGCTCAGACAGGATTTGAACCTGGATCCCCCATGATCAAGTCCAACACTATATTAAACTGTTGGCCAGATAACATGAAACTGGTTCTTTTCCATTTAAAAAGTCATTAAACTATCAGGTGATGGGGATATCACTTTTTTGAATAACACTTCCCCAACTGGGGAAGTATTCAATCCATGATTTCTGGGGGGGATTAACAGGGTAGGATAAATTAATCATATAGACTATTACACTATAATGTTTTAGAGCATGTGTGACTTAATAGTTTGAGTGCTGGATTGGGACTTTTGAGAGACTAGGCTTCAAATCCCCGCTCAGCCATAGAAACAAACTGAGCAAGTCCTACTCTCTCAGTCTCAGAGAAGGCAATAGCAAACCTCTGAAGAAATCTTTCCAAGAAAGCCCTGGGATAGGGTTGCCGGAGTCAGCTTGAAGGCACAGAATAAAAACAAAAACATAATGTTTCAGTCCATGATGATAAAGACATTACAAAAGCCTCTGTCAATTTCTTGAATCTCTAAGTACATTAGTTATTAGAATTTAAATTTCATGTAGAAAAAAAAATGTGATAATGTATAATAGCTCAATGTGATTTCAATGTGTAGCTCAATGCAATTTCAAGAATGTATGTAAGATGAACAAATTTTATATTAATAAAATTTATATATATAAAAAGAAACTGTGATGTGAATAGCCTATGAATACTAGATTTATATAAAGAGATCTTGCAGCACCTTTGAGACCAACTGAAAGAAAGAAATTGGCAGCATGAGCTTTTGTAGAATGCAAAAATGCATCTGAGGAAGTAGACTTAAAACTACAAAAACTCATGCTGCCAACTTCTTTCTTACAGTTCGTCTCAAAAAAGTGCTACAAGATCTTTTTACATACTGATTTTACAGATTAAACTGTAGATTTATATAGCCATCCCTGCCACAAAACAAGTCTCAATCTGCAGTAAAACTGAATTAAGTAAATATTACAGTTTAAATGTAAAACTACTTGAAATACTGTGTTAAAATACTATGATTGAATCTCTAATTACAGCAGTTATTAGAATTTATATTCCATAGACAATCAGGAAATCAAGCTGAGTGCTTACGCAGATGATACGGTGATCTATTTGACAGAACCTTTAGAAACTAACCAAAAGCTATTAGAACTTTTAAAAGAAAATGGACACTACTCAGGATTTAAATAACCGATGATGGATAGCTAAAAACAAACAAACTAGTCTGCTTTGCTATTGTGACCTCAGTGAGATGGTTACAGGAACTAAACCTGTTTTAATTAATCTGTACTCATCTTTTGGGGAAACACTTGCCAAGTTCTGTTTTGACTGGTTCCTTGCCAGACATTTTGCTGGGATCTGATCAATAACAGCAAGATCTTTCTAAGCCTTCCTCTTCCTTACCAAAGTCAGGTGTCCCTCCTCTGCCTCAATTTAATCCTTCTGGAGGGTTGTTTTTTTCCCTAGCTAAAAACTGAAGTTGTCAATGACTCACAATCTCTTCCTCATCCAGTTTAGCTGGTTCATTTCCACTTCATTCCAAATGGCTACATTTCCTTGAACCATCCCAATCCCACCTGCTTCTTCGTTGCCTTGCAGTCCCAAACCCTCAAAGGGCAGGCATTAGTTTTCAATCGAGCCTTCAAGCGTTGCTTCCTAGGGTTGCTTGCCAGACTGAAAACCAGAGAGAGCTCCAGCAGTTTTAATGGTTGTAGAGAAGAGGGAATTCTAGCAGGTGTTGTTTCTTGCCTGGTTGCATGGCCTGGGGATTCAGGGATCTGTAGTTTGTTGGGGGAAAAGGGAACATTTCTAAGCTCTGCATTAAAGTGAAATAAATAGTCATTTACTAAGGGCCTTTGCAGACTGCTAGAAATAGTGCAAATTGAGCCCACTTTAACTGCTCTGGCTCAGTGCTAGGGAATCATGGGAATTGTATTTTTTTCTGAGACATTGAGCCTTCTCTGTCAGAGAGCTCTGGGGCCACAATAAACTACAGCTCCCATGATTCCCTAGCACTGAGTCAGGGCATTTAAAGTGGAGTCAATTTGCCTATTTCTGGCAGTTTGCAAAGGCCCTAAGACCTAAGTCATTATCTTATCTTGGAGAGAGGTGGTTATGGGATTTTCTGCCTCACATATCCAAATAACTTGGGTCATTTTAGAAGCACCTTAACTTGGGTGGGTTAGCCATCATTTGCCTCCGGCACCAAAAATGGCAGTTCACTGGCATATAACAAATTCTTTGGGATTATAGTGGCACCCTGTGCATTTATATAGCTTACAATATTCATGTTAGACAATTAAAAGTGCGACGATTCCACTTTAACTGCCATGGCTGCATCCCATGGAGTCCTGGGATCTGTGGGGGGGGGGGGG